TGTGTGTGTTTGTGTGTGTTTGTTTGAATGTGTGAATGTGGATGAGTGTATGAGTATGTGTGTTTGTATTTGTATATATCTGTGTGATGGTATGGGCGCCTATGCGTGATTGTGTATACGTATGTATGTATATATTACATGTGTGTATGCATTGTACCAGCCCCCTACCGAAAAAGCTTTAAAAATCCCTTACCAAAATAAAACCAAGCCAAAAAAACAAACTTCCTTTCAAGGAGCGCCATGAGTCAGCACATTCTTCATACAAATCATATCCGCGGTCAGTCGAGCGATGTTTGCATGTGTATGTGTGTGTGTGTGTGTGTGTGTGTGTGTGTGTGTGTGTGTGTGTTTGCGCGCGTTTGTGTGTGTTTATGAATGTGTATGCATTGTGTATGTGAATATGCTATCACCAAACACTCACTTCCAAGGAGCGCCGTGCGCTAGTAAATCCTTCATACAAATCATGTCCGCGTTGAGACGACTGATGTGTGCGTATACAATCTTCTGAGGCTTGGACGCCAGGATCACGTTGGGAAAACACTCAGCCAGCGACGCCACAGCTCTCTTCAGGGACTCTGAAAATATGAAAAACCAAACCATGGGTACGTTTTACCTGAGGTGCACAGCGCCCGTTTGATGCAAAATTTAATTTTTATTTTAAAAATAAAGACAGGGCCGGCCAGGATTTTCCTTCATGGAGGTGCACAAGCTTCCACCCAGGCACAATTTGATCAAAATTATCCCAAAACAGTCATGCTTGATTTTGGAGGGTTTGATCGAAATGTGCTAAAAATAGCAGCTTTTGCCCCACTATGAAAAAAAATATGGCTAGCCCCGACTAAATTCGACTGAATTTGAATGGCGGTGTGCACTGAATATAATGATGGAGCTATGCTCTAACCGAGTAATACCCGGTGTTCACTGCCAATCGAATTTGGTCGAAGTGAGTTGGGGCCAGCCAAATTTTCCCCCGTGCAAGGGAAGAAAGCTATCAATTTTAGCACTAGAGAACGAGCCCGATTCGACTAATAGACTAGGGAAACAAATGCGTTAATTTTGAAGGTCACAATCAAATTTAGTCGGGGGAGGGGGGCAGCCAATTTTCCAATCCTTCACGCTTTGTTGGATTAATGAAGGACCCCCCCCCCCCCCGAAACACAACAAAAAAACAACCAACCCCCCCCAAAAAAACCCACACACACAACAAAAACGAGAAAGCGCCCCCCTCGTTCTCCACGAAAGTTGGTTGGGGGTGGGGGGTGGGGGTAGAGGGAAGCAGGGAAACACTTCAGCAAGTCTACTCATTCTGCTGATCGAAACTTTGTTTCGGATTTTTTAATTTTTTAATTTTTTTTTTTTTTTTTTTTGGGGGGGGGGGGGGGGGGGTTTTTTTTTTTATTTTTTTCGGGGTTCACCCCCCCCTAAGTTAAAACACCGGGCGGGGGCAAAATGGGAACTTTTTTTTTTTTTATTTTTTTGGGGGGGGGGCCCCACCCCAAATTTTCCCCAAATTTTTGGCCCCCCCCGGGGGTCTTTTTGAAAGGGCGCAATGCAGGAAGCCCCCGGGAATTTCCAATTTTCCCCCCCCAATCCCGGAGATCTTACCTTTCATAAGATTACAGCTGAGACCGGCTGAAAGACAGCTGTAAGAAGGCGCCGACGAGTAGTAGAAGAAAGGCTGCAGAAAGAGTCTGGAGCCCAGAGAAGGGGGCCAAAAGTGAGGGGGCAGAAAATGGAGAAGAAAACAGATTACAGAACCGGGTTAGAGGTTAGGGGAAGAGGTGAAAGAAGAAAAATTATTTTAGAGAAGACAATTTTCCGTCACTGTATGGTTTCGAACCCGGGACATCTTTAATGAGAGGCTAACACCGTACCTCTAGACCACGACAACCCCACTGGGTTTTGTTTACGAGAAGTAGGTTTTGTGAAGCAGGTGATTTTGGAAGTTCATCTCGACTGATCCGAAATGTTTTCCTTCTGTCACTGTCTCGGCCCGCCGGCAAAATAATGAAAATATCTGTCGTCGCCAGATCGGATATCAGCCGCTGGAAGTGGAATAGCGAGAGTCAAGGGATCTGGAGGCGGGGGATTAGGTTAGAGGTTAGGGGGGGGGGGGGGAAAGGAGCTGAACGGGCAATCAGGTGTCAACGGTGGGGGAAAGGGTAGAGGGAGTAGGCGACGAGGAGGAAAGATTGGAGGGATTATTGTTTGAGGAGAGAGGGGGCTTGTGGTAAGGGAGGCATGACTTTGAGAGGGACAATGTAAAAAGGTCTTCCACACCTCGCTACCTCAGAGTTACAAAATTCTATCTGCCATGCATGTACGCAGTTTTGAGAATTTTGGCGTAAAAAAGTTTGAGTTTCACAACATGTCAGGGTTTTTTAAATGAAATTCTTTGAATATCTGGATAACGACTCCGATTTTTTTAATAGAGCAGATAGAACATTTGGTTACTTACCTACCTCAAGGCGTTAGTAACTCAAAACGGCCAAACGTGTCAGATAGAACTTTGCAATTCTAAGACAGAACTGTTTTGGAACCTCACTTCCACCGATAGGTAATTGCTTCACTTCTGTCACTGCTGTCTAGAAGTCTGCGTTTGTTACCATGTCGAGACAATCGGGCTTTATTTTGACGTATTTTGCTACCTCAGAATATTGCAATGTTCTATGTGACATTTTTAACCATTTTGAGCTACCAAGACCACGAGCACGGCTGTTAAAATCCCACTGAAAGTCGTCCTTTAGCTTCTGACCGATCCCCGGTCTGACCTCCAGTATGAAGGTAATAAATCAGGGTCAGTCGGCCACTCCCGCGCTAAACAAACGTTACTATAGAGATGCCCGCCGCCATGTCTACGAACACGATTCTGGTAATTTTGTATCACGCTAATCCTAGAAACGAATTCAACTTCTCTTTTTCTCCCGAAATCAAAACAGTTTTATATCACTCGCGTACTTTTAAGTGCAAGCGTTTTTTTTTTCTTGACATTGGAATCTTTTATTATATTTCATTTTGAAATTTGTTATATCATGTGATGTTCACACATAAAGGAGTAGTGAAGCCGATTAAGATCACCAAGATAAGGAGATCAGTATCTTTTAAGAGTTCCTAGAAAAGGGGGTAAAAAATTAGCTGAAAGATCGTTTGCCCACCTTGCTCCATCAGTTTGGAAATACCTTCCCCAACCTTTGAGATGCGCGTGTGATAAGCAAGTAAGTAGATTGTGTGTGTGTGTGTGTGTGTGTGTGTGTGTGTGTGTGTGTGTGTGTGTGTTGCGTGCGTGAATATTGTTCGTACATGCATTTACATATATGTATAGCGCCAAGAGCTGTGTTTATACGGGAGTGGGCGTTATAGAAGTGGTCTTCATTATTATTATTATTATTAAGACAAACTTCAGCAGGTCGGGGCTACTCTGGATACATTTCGCCGAGCAATCGGCCTCCCTCCCCGAGTGATGTTTCATGCTCTCCGTGTGAAATGCAGTAACTCGCTCGGGGAAAACCCGGGGAGCACTTGTGGAGTGTCAGAAATAGCTCGGCGTGCAAGGTTGCATACGTTGCAGAGTGACAGTGACTCACCGACGACATCTGAATGGTAGCCGAGTTAAATTTTATGCTCTGCAGGTTAAGTTATTGCTCGCCGTATAAAAATCTTGCACGAGGAGTCTTGAGTCACATAAGCAAGTGTTTGCTTTGTGGATGGTGAGGCCAAATTTCTCCAGCAGTTCTTGGAAAAACTCTGGAGAGACTCTGAGGAAGTAAGTATGTCACATTTTCAACTTGCAGTTCAGCCATCAGCTTCTCAAACTGTCCATACAGGGGACTTCTTATGGGCCATGGTCAAACCGAACAGGTCTCCCTCCTCCTTCTCCTCTTCCTTCTCTTCTTGCACCACCACAACAGCAAAGGCACCATAATATGTAACATGAAGTACGCATCCATCGTCTGTGTCATATGAGACATGTTGAAGGAATGAGCATAACCATTTTGCCCCCCACTTTATATGTTACTAGCTGGGCCCCCTTTCGATGAAAGGGATGATCGGTGCTTTATTATCAACTAAAAGTCATTGGCCTACTTTATTAACACTCTACTGGAATGGGGAAATAAATCTTGAGAGATGCAAGAAATTAGAAGGTCTAGATCTATACTCTCAAAACAAAATGCGCCTCGCGAAATATCACTTCCAGGTTTTCTAAAATTACTGAAGCGTCGGCATACAAAAACGATCGGTGAAATAAGGAAATTTAGCTTTTTGCAGCAAAACTATCTCAAAACTTAAAAAACCAAGGGCGTCATGATCTGGAGAATATTTTAAAGAATCTATAGGCGAAAACCGCATGTCGATAGATGCAGCCATGAAAAAGCCTTTTGATTAGCAAAATTCGGCCACCACAAATAGATAATAGATAACATTGCACGCCGGCTAACTCGGCGACGGGTCGGCAAGATGGTCAGCATGGTCTGCGAGTTTGTCGGCGAGTTTGTTGGCGTGTGATTTTTTACTTGGCCTGTGCGCTTCTTGGCTCTGCAAGTGGCCTGGATTTTGTTTTGTTTT